CTATAGAAAAACTCAAACTTAAAAAACATTGATTTCTTATCAAGAAAAAACATCATATTTTTAAATATTTAAATAAACCGTTGAAAATAATTAAACCCTCTTTGTTAACAATAATATGCTTTAAAAAATTGAAAACTCATTATAAAAAATAAAATATACAAGTTAACAATGAAGATATTAAGCTATAATATGTGAGATTTCATAGGTGCTGTAAGCACAATTAATAGTCAGTGGTCAGTGTGAGTAGCCAGCGGTTGCAGCTGCAGAGTTGAGCGCAGCGATAAGCGAGCATTTGTTGTTGTGTACCGTGGCTGCCTCGAGCCTCAAACCAGTACCAGTCCAACCGGGGAACCGGCAACCACTACTGATCCCCTCCACGGAGGCGGTGTCCCTTCCCCTCACGCGCCTGGCCGAGGAGCGCGCCAAGCGGCAGTCGGCCGAACTGTAATGCGATTTTGCCACGCAGGTAGAGCGGACCCTTTTAGGCCTTAATTCACAATTCGACAGCTGACTTATAAATAGGCATATAATATTGTCTACAATCATGTGACATGTTTATTTATTCTTATATTTGATGGTTCATTGATTATTGATTTTATGAAATAAATCAGATTGAATATCTGTTGCTGTATCGAACCCTAATTAATTATTTAAAATTTCGCTAATGTGAACAATGTATTGAAAGATTTTGGTGTACAAAATAGTGAAATTATAAAGTTTATATTTACTTCAATCATTTTAACATTTTTCTACAATTAACATGTGTTTAGAGTAGGGCACACACCTTAAAACTTGAATATTTTTTTTCAAGGAGATAATTAATTGTATATTTTCACCATTTTGAGAGAAATATTGTTCACACCATTTCCTTTTCACAAATTTTTAAATCATAATTTCATATTACTACCCATAGATTGGTAGGTTATGGTGTTTTATAATCCAGAGGTAGCTACTACCTATCTATATTATAACTTTTGACACTTCCTGTAGATTGCACATTCTATTCAAATAATGAACAACTTTTTACGAGCGTTTCATGGTCATTACACATGTATATTTTCAACCAAGTTCCTCTTAACTTAACCTACCCTCGACATAAACATTGTTTGAATGACGTTAAATTTCCTAATTCTAAGCTGATATAGGTACAAATATTTCAAATAAAAACAACAATAAAAACCTAAATGCAATAAAGTTGTATATGCACTTGCCTTTGGCGCATGAATAGTAGGAGCTGTAAATAGTAGGGATAAGTATATTTCTGTTTGTTCAGATAGTATATAATGAGATATTTTTATAATCAATGCTTAGTGAGCAATGCTTTTTGGAAACAAGATTACATGTTTAATTTAATTCAAACTGTAATATTAACCAGATGTTGTAAATTATTGTTTGTCTATGTTTGATTTTATCATTTAGTAAAAGCTTTGAGTTTTTTTATTTCTTTTATTGTTTGAAAATGTTTTTTTTATGTAATTAGTAAGTTAAAAGTTTTTGATAGGTACATTTATTGAAATTTAATCTTATTTTACTCTTTTTTTCATGTCAGATTTTATAAAGCACATGCCAGAACCCATTGTTCCCCCCATCAGTTTTTGTGGCTTTGTCAAGGGTGCGCTTTTTCAGTATCTGTATAAAATTAAAGCCATCAACACAAAAATCGTGTATGGTCATATTATTACTTCAAACATAGGCCTAGTATTCAAATAGGTCCTGTAAACATGTAAAAACGTAACTTAACATTATCTTTTGAAAAAAGATTAATTATCCAAAATGTAAACCCACATCCCTTCCTGAAGTAAGGACCCATACTTTAATCAACACTTGCTACGCAGAATTAACTGCATGTTGTATACCGAGATAAGTGGGATTTGAGGAGGATTCAGTGTGAATGCTTCGCACAGGTTGGCTAGTTTATTTAAACTACAAGCTACTATGCCCGTGCTTTGCAACGGGAAGAAAATGTGACCTATAGAGCTACTAAAGTGGTGCTGATGTGTGTTTTAAAATACAGCAACTCTATGATTTAGTAATAAAATGATTTTGTGTGCGTGACTGACTGATACACTATTGGTTTCTCTACGCCATCTGGTGATACAATACTTAACACTGCGTCTAGGCCTACTGAGCTAGCATCTACGGCTAGTTTTAAAGGTAAATTGGTGTCATAACGAGCCAAAATAGGAGCATTAGAGAGTAGCTCTTTTACCTTGTCAAAAGCGGCAATAAAATTCTTATTGAAATTGAAGGGTATGTCCTTTTTGAGCAGGTTGTACATAGGACTTAATATAGTGGAAATTAGGAATGAACTTCGAATAGTAGTTAATTAGACCTACTAAAGCTTTGACTTCTGTCACTAGGAACTGGTGCGTTTTTTATAGCTTCTACCTTAGATTCGAGGAAGTGTGTAGACCTTGTTTGTCAATACAGAAACCTAAATACTCTACTTTAGGTGCAAAAAACGCACATTTACTCTTCCTAACGGTAAGACCATTTTCTTTAAGACGTTTGCAAACTTCCCTAAGCTTTTGATAATGTATTTCATCATTCACATCAGTAATCAAAACGTCATCTAGAAAGCAAACAACATTAGGTAAATCTTGTAAAGATTGTTCAATTCTGTACTGAAATATGCTTGTTGTGGAGGAGATTCCGAACGGCATTCTCTGATAACTAACAACCCTTTATGCATACTTATAGTACATAGTGTTTTAGACTTTTCATCTAATTCAAGTTGCATGATTGGCACAGATCTATCTTACTACATTTTTCACCTTTCTGTAAACTAGTAAACAAATCATCTATTCTGGGGATTGGGTACTTTTCTACTTCTAGACTTGGGTTTAAGTTATAACCTTAAAATCTCGGCTAATACGTCTGGTTTGAGAACTGGAACTATGGGAGTGCCCCAATCAAAACTTTTTACTGGGAGAAGTACACCTTCTTCTGTTAACTTCTCAAGCTCTTTTTCTTTACTTTAGCTTTAAGTGAAAAAGGAATAGATTGTGGCTTAACGTACCTAGGTGTGGCGTAAGCTTTCAATTTTAATTGAAATGGTTCACCTTTGTATTGACCTAATTTATCAGTGAAAACATCGGGAAATTCTTTAATCAATTCTTTGGTTAATTCAGTGCAATGTTTACTAGGTACAGTTTAATCGACACTTGCGTTATTATCAATGCCAACAATTTTATCTTTGAAAGATATTTCCACAAGAAGGCTCTGAAGCCAATTACCTCCTATCAGAGGATGAGCTCCCTTCTTAATTAGGTACATATAATTCTAGACATTAACTGACTCCTTGATACTGTACATCCACTTCAATTTTCGCTAACGGAATGATTGGTTCATTTGTGTACGAACTCAGAGATAAGTCAGAGTGGATAACAATTTACTATTGTTACGATTTTCATTGTAAAAGTTTTCACTACATACACTTACGCTTGCGCCTGTGTCAACTTCAAGATGAATTGGTTTTCCCTGAACCGTTAATTATAATTTAATAGGGCTTACTTTAGCATTTTCTACTTCACTTTCATCCATTTTGAATAAATTTGGAATATCTTCCTCATAGCTTTCAGCTTAATGGTTATCATCGTTTGCACTCGTTACTGCTTCTTCATAATTATGCCTACTGTTATATCTATTACTAAAATGTTTAGAATGTTGTTTTTGTAACTTACTCTTAGATCGGCAAACCTTAGCAATGTGATTCTTCTTTCCACACGCGTTACATGTTACACCTAACAATCGATACTGATTACGTAAATGGAATGCACTTCCACAACAAGAACACTGCACTTTGTTGTCGTATGAAGAGCTGCTTTTGGGGTGATTGTGGTGACCTCAACGTGCGGTGACACTCGATGGTGCGCTGCTTCCGCCTAGTACTCTGCGATGGTGTGACGTCATCTTTTGTAATCGCTCGACATCACGGCTCCCGTTGATTTTGATGGCTTGATCCAAGGTTAGGCTGGTTTCTGCTAACAATTTTTGTTTGGTTGATTCGTTCCTGATTCCGGGGACTGGACGATCCCTCAGGTAGTCATTTATACATGCACCGAAATCGCAATGTGTGGACATCTTCCTTAACTGCGCGATGTATTCCGCAGCTGAATCTCCCTCGTGCTAAATTATTTTGCTGAACTTGTATCTCTCGGCGATGAACGATGGTTTCGGATAGAGATGATCTTTAATAATAGTCACTATTTCCTTAAAACTCTTCTTCGATGGTACGTCGGGCGTGCACAGATCCCGTAGTAAACTATACGTTTTAACACCAGCCACAGACAATAAAGTGCTAACCTTCTTGTCCTCCTTAATATTGTTCCATTCGACAAACAGTTTAAATATTTCTATGTATGAAGACCACGTTTCGGAGTTCTGGTCGTACTCGCCGATGCTGCTAATTATCCCGACCATGCTGGAGTAACCCGACACTTCACTATCTTCAAATAAAGGTAGTAAGTCTAAGTAGTCCACTTCGTCGTCCGACATTCACAAACCTGTTCGAAATTTACACTACACGGCACAATCGATCTGTTACATTGCGTGGTATGTAAATTTGACCGATCCCGTTGCCATTTGTTATGTTCGTGGGTTGAATGGACTTTGGAAGTGGACTAAATAAATACGAGAGTTTTACATGTTTATAACACGGCCACAAACAGGTGGTTAAGGTTCGAATTCTGGAGGTAGACTGGGCTGTTGAAGGGACGGACGGACGTGGACGGTGGTGTGATCTAGGTGGAGAGGGGATCAGGTGATGTTTGTAGCCATTGAGGTTTTTTGAAAATCATACAATACATAGTGGCGTGAAGTACAAGGAAATCATAATTACAACGGATATTCTTAAGATATATTACAAAACCTCTTTTTTTATTATTTGTCTTCCAAAATTTTGCTGTCCCCTAAGATTTGGCGATCTAGGTGCGCGCATAGTCCGCCTATTAGGAAATACGGCCCTGGGCTGATTCAGCAAGTCCAACCTTGAATCATTGATGGTACATGGAGGTGGATACAGCTTTTTCCGGTCGTACTTGTTCAGGATGGGCAAAGAAGTGCCACCCGATTGCATCTACCTCCTGGGCACTCCTAACGAGTGGGTTCGCCTGTCAAGGGAAAGGCCCATTCAACACAATGTAGAACTGCTGTCGGTGGACACGGTCACGATGATGATGACAGAGAGTGAGGACAACTGGACCTGTTTGTTCAGCATATTCTCTGCACCAAGGAGCTCTACCTTGGCCCGGATGTGGTCTGGGTCATAAACAACTGTAATGCCTGAAATGGTGCGAGTTGGCCCCATGTTGACCTTACCTGAAGAAATGTAGCAAGCAATCCCAGGTCTGTTCCTAAAAGGTTAGAGGATTTTTTTAGTAATTAGTGTCATCAATTTAGGAGTCTCACACTACAGGCTAGCCACCTGTGTGCATAAAACATTTCCCCTCCCTCTCCCACAAAACACAACAAATCCCTCTTCCAAAGCAATCCTGCAATATGAGAGAAAGGTCAATGTATAATGTAAATAAACTATTACATTAGTATGAGGGAGTTTATTTTATTTATTTATTTCCTCTCAACGGTTACACCATTTTACAGCAAATACATGATATGTTACATGTTGTATCTAATATGCCACAAAATATTAAGCAAAAGTAACTACTCTAACAATAAATATACAATAAATAACAAAATAATATAACAATAACAAAAGCATAAAGAGATTTGTACATATTAACAATAACAATATCAACAATTTTGACTAGATACAAGTAAGTGTAAGTGCTTGACGTTACAAACATGGATGATATTGACAAACAAAACAATGAAGGAATGAAAAAATTAAATTGTAGGACCCTTGATTATGTATGAAGCCTGACTACATTGAGAAACAAAAACAGCAACTACCGATTGGACTATTAAAGAGTTGAAGAAAATTTTTAGTACTTTTGGTCTTCCAAGCCTCCTAATTTCAGACAATGGACGAAGTTTCACTTCTCTTACTTTTCAAGAGTTTCTTAAGTCATGTGGAACTCAACACAAAACGACTGCTCCCTTCCACCCATCATCTAATGGACAAGCTGAACGCTTTGTACAAACAGTGAAGAAGATGTTGAAGTCGATATTAGATGAACCAGGAACACTTGACAGTAAAATTCACAAGGCGATAATTCAACTCCGTCAAGTACCAAACTCAACAGGAAACTCGGCATACTATCTCATGTTCAACAGACAAGTAAGAACATACCTCAGTGTTATGATACCTTCTAGAATCGAGGACTCAAAAGACAAACCTAAAGGTATAACACGCATATTTAAGGTGGGAGACCGTGTTCAAGTGAGAAACTACTACAAGGGTCAGACAAAATGGAGTTTCGGAAAAGTTACATCAAGAGATGGAAATCTACATTACAACGTTGAACTGGAGAACGGAGTAACATGCAGACGACATGTAGATCAAATGCTGCGGTCAAGACTTTAAAGGGGGAAAATTGATGTGTCTTTTCTAACATACTGTATGTAAAAATACCATATGTTATGTTTAATAAGTTAGGTAACTTTGTTTTTGTTTATAATCATTGTTATTTTAGGATTCAATTCAGAATACACCTATTTTATTTTACACATCTTTTATTTAATACATAGAGGATACGCGTCCGGTAACCGGACGTGGATAAGGCGTACGGCAATGACGTCATGGGGTTGCGGGAGCCTGGAACGCCTTTACCACAACAATACAATGACGAGCCATCGGTGTTCGTGGTGTGGTGGATAAGGTGCTCGGCTGATATGCAAGAGGTCCAGGGTTCGAATCCCATTGATGACTTTAACTTTTTGTCGAAGAGTTTGCATTGAATACCATTTATTCTTAACTGTACATCTTTTATTAGAATTTTTGGCATTTATAATTTTTTTTATAGAGAAAGAATTTCACCTTAATTCGATTTTTTCACTATCAGCAAGTTTGGTTGGTTAGGTTAGGTTATGACAGTAATTGCCGGACGTCTAATCCACGTCCGGTTACCGGACGCGTATCCTCTGCCTATTTAATATGTAACACAAGAAACAGTTTATGACACAGGGATACAAAATAACAGCAAAACAACAGCAACAAAAGGGAGATAAATAAAATTTAAAGTTTATGTAACTAGTGACTAGATGGTAAACAAGAATAGTTAGATAAGGAGCTGGATGATCTTCGACCTGAAGACGTGAGTTGAAACGCCAAAAAAGACGACATCAGCTCCAACTTCGCTCCCTAGCCGGTGTAGGCGAGATATCCTACTGTTGTAAGCATAAAAAAGCATAATATGGGAAGAACTGCCGTTTGAATATGGATCTAGAGCGTGTTCCTCTTGGTGCAGTGAAGTTGATGCAACTAAGAAGTTCTGGGCAGACCATGAGGCCATTAATTACTTTGTATAAGAAGAGAAGATCCAGAAACTTGTGTCTAATGCGAAGAGGTTGAAGGTTACACTGTATCTCCAGGTCACAAACTGGGGTTTGGGAGTATTGATAACCAAGTTTGAATCCCAACATCTTGATGAAGTGTTTTTGGACTTTCGCAAGCATTTTCAGATGCCCCACTTGATAAGGTGTCCAAATTGTTGAACCATATTCAAGTATCGGTCTGATCAGTGTTTTGTAAAGGACAATGAGAGAGTGAGGGTTGGTAAAGTCCTTTGTTGATCTATGAATAAATCCCAGTAATGAATTTGACCTGTTAATAATGTTGGAAATATGCTCCACTGGATTTAAGGTTGGTGTAATGGTGATCCCAAGGTCCTTTACCTTATTCACCCTCGATAGTTTTTAGTCTTCTTTATAGTAGTCAAAACCATGGGTTGTGGTCCTACGACAAAATGACATGACTTGACACTTTGAAATATTAAGAGACGACATTGCATTATTTTTACACCAGTTAAGTTTGAGTGGATGCATGGATACATTAATTATTTTATTGTTATTTATTTCTAGAATTATTCATAATTATTTAACATTTTTATATTAATTAATTTATTAGGCCTACAATGAGAATCTTTAAAATGTATAAAAACTGCATGTTTTTTAATAACTGACTAACTAATAATTTTGCATACATTTCAAATAAAATATGCATGTTGAATTAGTTAGCCTACTTAAAGATATTTTACATTACATTACACATGAAATGTGTTAGCTTCCTGTTTATTTTCAACCCTCCTCAATCTACATAAAGCGTCACAAATATCTTATTCGAGTAAATAATTGTTCATTGTACTGACCAGCTTTTTCAATAACTAAATTAAATTAAATCATTTAAACATTGGAAGCATGCCAGGCGTAGCCCTTTGGAAATCAGCCTGTGGGGCAGTTCCCAAAGGAAATTTGTCCATATCAATACTTTTCGGCAAATCTACACACTCTAAGCTTCATTTTGATGTGCCATATTCCTATATTTTTATTTGGCATATTACCTTAACCGTTTACGTAACATATTATTGTATCAATTTAATAATACATAATAGATACTAGCAGAGTAAACATCAATCGAACGAGGTTGGCGTATAATGATAAAATGCTTGTTGCAGTTATACTCGTGCTTAGGGTTTGCAATGGCAGAGGACACGGTTTAAGAAAATTTGGTTATGTCATAAATGCAAAAATGATTATAAATAGTTCTGCACCCTGTTGGTAAACCTTATTACTTTTTAATCTATACTTATTTAATACGCAAGCAGGTTTTTTGTGACAATTACTCCTCCGAAACTACTGAACCGATTGACATGTTTTTGATGTCATTGGAAAGAGCGTAACGCGAAGTTGTGCAGGAATTTTTCTTTTTATGGAAATAATTAGAGAGTGACGCCCTGGGGCCCTATAAAGTTTCGTATTTCTCCATAAGATTAACATGAGAAAAAAAGTTGTTATGAAACTCCAGCTGTTGACAGAAATTAAAAGTGAGAAGAAGAACATATGTTAGTTGTAAACAGCCAATAAGTTTGCTACAAACATTTACTGACTTGGTTGAAATGAAATATTGAATTTGGGTTGGCGTAAATATTACAATGGAAAACAGCGAGAAAACTAGATAAAATGATATAATCTGTTATATGTACATCTTGAGTATTTCCATAATCTTTGAGGCGAATCATTTTAAGTCATCAGAAATTATGACTGTTATTCGTTTTAAAATATTACCTGTAATACTTAGCAATTGCTCGAAACCGACTTGTGTAGTTAAAACAGCTGACAACATTTTTAATTCCTTTTAAATGAATACTCATCTATATAATTAATACGTCATTTCTGTTGTTTTTTGCCTCCTGATCACAAATTTAAATTAATCTAGAGGTTAAAATACCTTTAATCCGTCACGGAAATACCTTTGATCACATTGACGGATTAAAGGTATTTTAACCTCTAGATTAATTAATACGCTACATGAAACTTTGTCGGTTGAACTCCTCCGCCATTTCTTAACCGATTTTATCCATTGACGTCTCATTGGAAAGAGCGTGTCGTGTAGATTTGTAAACTGACCTTACATTTTTGAAAAAGTCCCTTGGGCTCTGCCCCAGTGGCTGTTAAAGTTCCCATGTTATCCTTATGAAGAACATGAATGTTTACATTTTGATCAGCTGTATAACTTAATTGCTGTTATTTATTTTCCAATTCAACGAAACGCATTGGGTACTTTTACTGATTTTGTTGAAATTAAATATTTACTACTTTAATTTACATTCGTAAATATTACAATATAAAAAAAATGGAGAAAGCCTGGGCAATTTGATATATTTTACCAAATAAAAAAAATGAATTGACAAAAGATATTTATAATATACTGTATTTCTTGAGCAATAATGGAAAGAACCGATATTTTAACCATGGAAACATAGAAAAAACATAGAACGGCACCAAGTAGAAGAATTAGAGATTAAAAAAACCATTTACTATCGTTATCATCCTATATAATGAAGAAAACCTACAATTTGAAGATTCCCACAAACAATGAACAAGGATGTTAGCCGAAGTGTTACTGTTTTGTAGGAAGCACGGACTTAACTTTATGGTGATTGGCAAAGAAAAACACTCTAAGGCTGAATTAAACTGGTACGGCAAGGACGTTTTCATACAAGTCAAGTGATCTTAAAATAATATGACTACATCCAAGAAACCTTAATACAACTTTCAATGAAGGATTTGCATTATTCATATTTAAGGGGAACACAAAACCATCTGAACAACATAGGCCTTTCAATTCCGCGTTTTTTTTTTCTTCAGGTAAATATGACTTTCAACGGGTAGTACTATGCAGACTACATTATCATTGACGAAGATCAACATGGACAACCTAATGCGGCTATATAAGTGGGAAGATTTGTAGAATACACTAAAAAACCAGATTTTGAAAAATGATAAAATATTTACAAGAAATGTTGATTATATGGAACTGTTAGGTACGTAATCTATGAGTTGAGTCTTTTAAACTCATCGGAAATTATGACTTTAATTTTTTTTATATAAGTTATTTGTTTTTAAATACTGTAACTACTGTACTTCTTTGAAATTGCTCGATTTCGAGCAACATGTACACTAGTCTATATATATAAAAGGCAAAGCCCTCACTGACTGACTGACTGACTGACTGACTCACTCACTCACTCACTCACTCATCACTAATTCTCTTACTTCCCATTTACCTAGGCGGCTGAAATTTGGTACACTGACTCTTTGGGCATTAAATAGGAAAACTAAGCTGTTTTTATTCTGATCGGACTCTCGGGCTCCACCTCAGTGGCTCTGGATTTTCCCATGTTAACCTTATGTGTACTCATATTTAAATGGAATTAATGAATCTTAACAGCTGTTTCAATTAAACAAGTTGGTTCTGGTCTATGATGTTCAATAGCATTAAAGTTACAAGGATTACCAACAGGGTGCAGCACTATTATTTCTTTTACATTTATGACAACAGCTAATTTGCAACCAAAAGGTGAGTGAGCGTAGCGAACGAACTTCAACCTGGAGGCGAGTTAGCGTAGCGAACGAGCTCCAATCTAAAAGTGAGTGAGCGTAGCGAACAAACTTCAACCAGGACGTGATTGAGCCATGCGAACGAGCTCACTTATAAAGTTAAACGGGGCAAAGCCCGTGGGTACAGCTAGTAATCTATATATTTAATACGCGACATGAAACTTTGTGAACAATAAGGCTTTTTTGTTTTAAGATTTAATCCCACATATTATATACCAACATGTTTGTCTAGGTGGGTAGATGTGCAAACTGGCTTTAGATTTTCGAAATATATCTTTTTAAGGGCGTGGGCTGCCCTCAAAGTTCCTTCCATAAGGATAACATTGTGATTGATTTGAATGTTATTATATGCTGAAACAGATGTCAATACATTAGTTAAAAAAAATTAAATCCCAGCTGTTTTGTTTGGTTTGGAAATGTTAACAGTTTGCATGTTTTTAAAAATAAACGACGGAAGAAAAGTTT